AAAAGTAACTTCTGTCCCTACTATCCAAAGCAATCTACAGATTCAACACAATCCCTATAAAAATACCAATCACATTCTTCCCAGAAATAGGAAAAAAAATCCTAAAATTTCTAAGGAACCACAGAAGACCCTGAACAGCCAAAGCAATCCTGAGCAAAAAAGAACAAAGATGGAGACATCACACTATCAAGACTTCAAATATACTACAAAGCTGGAGTAACCAAAACATCATGGTACTGGCATAAAGAGAGACACACAGACCAATGAAACAGAATAGAACCCAGAAATTAATCCATACATCGTCAGCCAACTGATTTTTGACAAAAGTGTTAAGAACACTCACTGAGGAAAGGCCAGCGTCTTCAATAAATGGTACTAGGAAAACTGGATATGCATATGTGGACGAATAAAGCTAGACTCTTGCCTCTCATCCTACACAAAAATCAACTTGAATCAAAGATCTATAGGTAAGACCCAAAACGATGACTAATGAAAGAAAACATAGGCGAAATGCTTCAGGACACTGGTCTGGAAAAAGATCTTATGGATTAGACCTAAAAAGCACAGGTAACAAAAGCAATAATGAACAAATGGTATCATACCAAGCTAAAAGCTTCTGCACAGCAAAGATAACAATCAACAGAGTGAAAAGACAACCTACAAAATGGGAGACAATACTTGCTTTTATTGTATGTTTTATCTTTTGAGACAGGGTCTCATTCAGTCACCCAGGCTGGAGTGAAGGGGTGTGATCTTGGCTGATTGCAACCTCTGCCTCCTGGGTTCAAGCGATTCTCATGCCTCAGCATCCCAAGTAGTTGGGATTACAGGTATGTGCCACCATGCCTGGCTAATTTGTGTATTTTTTGTAGAGATGGGGTTTCACCATGTTGGCCAGGCTGGTCTTGAACTCGTGGCCTCAAGTGATCCACCTGCCTTGGCCTCCCAAAGTGCTGGGATTACAGGCGTGAGCCACTGCACCCAGCCTAGAATGGGAGAAAAATTTACAAACTATTCATCCAACAGGGGAATAGTAACCAGAATATCCAAGGAACTCGAACATCTCAACAGCAAAATAACCAAAACAATTTAAAAAAATAGACAAATGAACAGACATTTCTCAAAAGACAAAAAACATACGTCTAGCAGGTATATGAAAAAATGCTCAACAGCACGAATCATCAGGGAAATGCAAATCAAAACCACAATGAGGCATCATCACACCCTAGTTAGGATGGTTATTATTAAAAAGACAAAAAATGACTAATGCTAGTGAGGATGCAGAGAGAAGAGAACTCTTATCTGCTGTTGGTGGAAATGTAAACTAGTACAGCCACGGTGGAGAACAGAATAGAAGTTCTTTAAAAAGTAACAAATAGAACTATTATAGATCCAGTACTTCCACTAGTGGGCATTTATCCAATGAAAACGAAGTAAGTATATTGAAGAGACATCTGCACCCCCATGTTATGGCAGCACTCTTCACTAAAATAGCCAAGACAAAAGAATGAATCCTGTTATTTGCAGCAACATGGATGGAACTGGAGGACATTATGTTAAGTGAAATAAGCCAGGGGGAGAAAGTTAAACACTTAAGTGTTCTCATTCATTTGCAGAAGCTCAAAAAGTTGATTTTAGAGAAGTAAAAGGTAGAACAGAAGAACAGAGGCTGGAAAGTATAGGGGGAAAGGAGTGATAGGGAGAGAGATTTGTTTAAAGAATATAAAATTACAGCTAAAAAGGAGGAATAAGTTCTAGTGTTCTGTACCACTGTTGGAGGACTACAGTTAACAATAATATTTAGTTTTAAATAGTTAGGAGAAAGATATTCAATATTCCCAACACAAACAACGTTTGAGACAGATATGATAATTACTCTGATCTGATCATTATGCATTATTTATATATAAACATCACTATATACCCTGTAAATATGCACGATTATTATGTGTCAGTTAAAAAAATGTAAGAAGCCCTTGAGGATAAAAATTAGAATACGGGGAAAAAAAACCCTTGTGTTCGTTAAAAGATTCCTTCAGAATAGGAAAAGGTTAGTCACAAATGAGAGAAATATCTGCAATACACAGAACTAACAAATGACTAGTGTCCAGAGGATATATATATATATAAAATGTTTACAAATCAACAAAACTGACAATCCAATAGAAAAGTGAGCAAGACTCTTAAACCCTTTAGAAAAGTTAATATACAAATGGCCAATTAACATATGAAAAAGTGCTATAGCTTTAGTCATCAGAAATAGAAATCCAAACCAAAATGGACGTACTAGAACACACCCTCTACAACAGCTAAAATTAAAGACTGATAATACCAAATGCTTCTTAGAAGAGAGGAGACAACTGGAGCTCCGTACACTGTTGGTGGGAGTGAAAACTGATGCCATACTTCAGGAGCTATCTCACAGAGGTGAAGATGCATCTCCTTAGTGCCCTAGCAATGCCACTGCCATATATATTAATAAATGTCTCCCTAGCAATGCCACTGCCATATATATTAATATACATCCCCCATTCTCATAGATATGGCACAAAAGACATGAGAATGTTCGTAGCAGTTACATATAATAGCCCCAAACTTCTAAACAGGAAACAAAATGTCCAAGAGTAAAATCAATAAACTGGGGTATACGCATCCACTGGGACACATACCACATAGTGATGAAAACAAACTATTATATGAAATAATATAGATGAATCTCACAATGTTTCTAAGAAGCACACTACATGTATGTGTGTGTATATATACTAATTGCCTTTATATAACAATAAAAAACATAGTGTGAGGTTATTAAAAAATAACCTTTTTAAATTAATTTTGTCATTTGCTAAGAAATAACAAATGCTTTTCATATGGCATACCCCATTCTAAGCAATTTTTATGTGTTTGAATTCAATTTCACAACACCCTATAAGTTAGATGCTACGGAGGATTCCCAAATGTGCAAATGTAGCCACAAAGAAGTTAACTTGTCCAATGCCCCAGATCAACCTAAGTGCTAGAGCTGGGAGGTGAAGGGAGGCAGGCTGGCTCGAGTGTCTGTATTCCAAACACTATGGTACATTGACTCCCAATGAGAGAACTTTAATGGAAAGATGGAGGGAGGGCAAATATGCAGAAGGAGGTGGGAGGAGGAGGATGGCAAAATTCCCATCTTCCAAAGAAAAATAATCAGTAGATAATGCCTTAAACAGGAGACAGGGAGGAGAGAGGAATCAAGAACTATCAGTACAGGTTGAGTATCCCTTATCTGAAATGCTAACCAGAGTGTTTCCGATTCTGGGGAGGGAAATTAAAAAAAAGAAGTGTTTCCAATTTTGGAATTTTTCAGAATTTGGAATATTTGCATTATACTAGTTCAGCATTCCAAAACCAAAAATCCAAAATCCAAAATCCAAAATACTCAATATGTGAGTGTCATATTGTTGCTCAAAAAGTTTCAGATTTTGGAGCATTTTGTATTTGGGGTACTCAACCTGTATATGCAGGTTATGAAAAAATTTGGAGAAAAGATCAGAAAAAATAGCTAAATGCCAAGGTAACAGTAAACTTCCAGTGAATGGGTCAGAGTAGAGCACTATTATTTATACTACACTTATGAGCCTCGTTAACACTATTTCAAGTTAAAAAAACCATATACACACTGCTTTGATACAAATGATTTTAAAATTTTAAAAAGATTTAAACATTTACAAAAGAACAGGCCAAATGCTGTGGTTTATGCCTAATCCTAGCACTTTCGGAAGCCAAGGCAGGAGGACTTCTTGAGGCCAAGAGTTCAAGATCAGCCTGGGCAATGCAGTGAGACCCCATCTCTACCAAAAAAAAAAAAAAAAAAAAAAAATTAGCAAGGCATGATGTTGCATACTGCTCATGCTTTGTTGTCCTAGCTACTCAGGAGGCTGAGCAGGAGGATTGCTTCGGCTCAGGAGTTTGAGGCTGCAGTGAGCTCAAAGTGTCCCTCCATTTCAGACTGGGTGACCAAGCAAGACCTTGTCTCTAAAAAATAAAAATTGTAAAATAACTACCATTTATTGAGCTCCAGTGTCCCTGGCACTTTCCTAAGCATTTTAAATACACCTCTCCTGGAATTCTCCTAACAATATGGGGCCAGTCCTATCATTATCCTTAAGCACTTATGAAGAAACAGATCAGAGATTAAACGGCCTAGGGTTGGCCAGGTGCTGTGGCTCACACCTGTAATCTCAGCACTTTGGGAGGCCAAGGCAGATGGATCACCCGAGGTTAGGAGTCTGAGACCAGCCTGGCCAACATGGTGAAACCCGTCTCTACTAAAAACACAAAAATTAGCTGGGCATGGTAGCGGGCACCTGTAATCCCAACTACATGGGAGGCTGAGGCAGTGAGCCGAGATTGTGCCACTATGATAGAGCCTGGACAAGTGAGAGAGACTCAGTCTCCAAAAAAAAAGAATTAATAAATTGGCTGGGTATGGTGGCTCACGCCTGTAATCCCAGCACTTTGGGAGGCCAAGGTGGGAAGATCAGGAGGTCAGGAGATCAAGACCATCCTGGCCAACATGGTCAAAGCCTGTCTCTACTAAAATACAAAAAATTAGAGTCGCCTGGAAGCCTCCGTCCGAGGTTGCGGACCACCTGGGGAATCCGCAGCGCGCCAGGCCCTTCCGGGCGCCGCACGCAGTAGGTGCCAGCCTCCTGAGTTCGGAACGAAGGCGCGTAGCAGCGAGATCGACAGAGCCCCGCCGGTAGCCGCCGCGCCGCCGCCCCGGCCGGCGAACGCCACACCCCAGCGCGTTTCCGGCCGGGCCACGTGACCGCGCGCGCACGTGTTCCCCCCTCTCCGCGGCGCGGCTGCTAGCCTCCTCCTGGTTGCCCCCGCATTGGTCAGCCTGGAGCCGGCATGGGCCGGGCCCTGGAGGCGGTGGCCCGGGGAGCCGCTGAGACGCGGGCGCGGAGCATCACGGGGGAGCAGGCCTGGGCCGGTGGGCGGCAGCCTCCGACATGAACCCCAGGGGCCTGTTCCAGGACTTCAACCCCAGTAAGTTCCTCATCTAGTCCTGCCTGCTTCTCTTCTCAGTGCTGCTGCCCCTCCGCCTGGACGGCATCATCCAGTGGAGCTACTGGGCCGTCTTCACCCCCATATGGCTGTGGAAGCTTCTGGTCATCGCGGGCGCCTCCCTGGGCGCGGGCGTTTGGGCCCGCAACCCTCGCTACCGCACCGAGGGGGAGGCCTGCGTGGAGTTCAAAGCCATGCTGATCGCTGTGGGCATCCACCTGCTCCTACTCATGTTCGAAGTCCTGGTCTGCGACAGGGTGGAGAGGGGCACCCACTTCTGGCTGCTGGTCTTCATGCCTCTCTTCTTTGTGTCCCTCATGTCCGTGGCTGCCTGCGTCTGGGGCCTTCGACAGGACAGATCGCTGGAGCTGGAGATCCTGTGCTCTGTCAACATCCTGCAGTTCATCTTCATCGCCCTGAGGCTGGACAGGATTATTCACTGGCCGTGGCTGGTGGTGTTTGTGCCTCTGTGGATTCTCATGTCGTTCCTTTGCCTGGTCGTCCTCTATTACATCGTCTGGTCCCTTCTGTTCCTGCGGTCCCTGGATGTGGTTGCCGAGCAGCGAAGAACACACGTGACCATGGCCATCAGCTGGATAACCATTGTCGTGCCCCTGCTCACTTTTGAGGTCCTGCTGGTTCACAGATTGGATGGCCACAATACGTTCTCCTTCATCTCCATATTTGTCCCCCTTTGGCTTTCCTTGCTAACTGTAATGGCCGCAACATTTAGACGAAAGGGTGGCAATCATTGGTGGTTTGGCATTCGCAGAGACTTCTGTCAGTTTCTCCTTGAAATTTTCCCATTTTTAAGAGAATATGGAAACATTTCATATGATCTCCATCACGAAGATAGTGAAGATGCTGAAGAAACATCCGTTCCAGAAGCTCCGAAAATCGCTCCAATATTTGGAAAGAAGGCCAGGGTAGTTATAACCCAGAGCCCTGGGAAATACGTTCCCCCACTTCCCAAGTTAAATATTGATATGCCAGATTAAGCTCCCAGAGAGGACCCAAGCACACATAGACTCCACCTTGCCTTTGCCTCTTGTTCATTCATCCCAAACCTGGAAATGGAAGCAGGCTCCAAACAGTGTCGTCTCACGCCCTGTTTGAGGTCGCTGCCTCATCAGTATGCATCATAGATGGAGTTATTTCCATATGTGGGTGTATGTGTTGTGTACCTGGGTAAGAGAACTTGGCTTTCCAGGTTTGCACTCTCAGATGTAGCTGGGGCAGTAAGCTGAATTGTTTTAGTAGGTCCTTAAAAGGAATAACTACACAGCTGGTTTTTTTTTTTTTTTTAAGTGCTACTGTACCTATCAAAAATATTGTTTAAAAAGTATTTTTGTACACTGCTAATCTAAAATTGTATTTCAGATTGTGCCTGTTATGACATAATAGCAAATGTAAAGAATTCTCTTTCCCACCACTTGTTTATAAACCTCATAGTCGTTATTTTTAGTGTTCCTATTGTTAAAATACTTTCTCCTTGGGCTTTGCTGATACTGGTCTTTGATATTCTAACAGATGATTTTTTTCTAATGGAATGAATCCATGCATATGTAGTATTTATATGAACATTTTAGCAGTGTAATATGTTGAATTCTAGTTCTCTGCAGTACAATGTATTATGTTAAAGTATATTTTAAAGCTTACATGTGAAGATACACGTCTATTGCAGATGTCCTTGAAGACTGCATAAAACAGTATGTGCCTGGTGTGGCTTTCACCAAAGTACTAGGCACGAATATAGAGACTGCAAATCCCGTGAGTCTTAACATTTAGGTGTTAGTAACCAAGGTCTGTGCTGTGTAAAGGTCTCTGGTAGTACCCGTTAGTAGAGGAAGAAGCCACTGCACTTGGGAACTTGTGACATGCTCCAGTGTGGTACCAGGCCATAAAGTGACACGGTTGCTTAGCACCTTGAATTTTTCCACACAAGTCGTAACTCTGTGGAAATAAGCAGCAAGTGGTTTGTCCATTTCTAAGCATCTTAGACTATTAGTTGGCTGTACTGTAAAGCATTACTTGTCATCGGAAGGCTGGAGAGAGTGGCCTTACCCAGAAGTGCCAACAGAAGCAGGTATCATTTTAAGGTCCAAACTTTTGCATCTGTCAGCAATAAGGAAACAGCAGTTCCAGTTCTCTGTGTAGAGAAGTAAGTACAGTGTTTCTTTAGGTGCCGGTAGCACACCAGGGAATCGGCAGAAGCTGGATCCTGCAAGAGTTACGTTTGTCTGACTGAGAACAAATAAATACTTTCAAAAGGAGGTTAAAAAAAAAAATACAAAAAATTAGCCAGGCATGGTGGCAGGCGCCTGTAGTTCCAGCTACTCAGGAGGCTGAGGCAGGGGAATGGCTTGAACCCAGAAGTCAGAGATTGCAGTGAGCCAAGATCCTGCCACTACACTCCAGCTGGGCAACAGAGCAAGACTCTGTCTCAAAAAAAAAAGAAAAAAAGAATAAATCATTTCTTGCATATTAGTCATAATGTAGCTCCTCCTTGTAGGTAAGGTCTACAAGGACAGAAGTCCATTTCATCTAAATCAGGGGTCAGCAAACTTGTTCTGAAAAGTACCAGACAGCAAATACTTTTGGGTTTGTGGGTCATCAAGTCTTAGTTGCAACTATTCAAGTTGGTCATTATAGCCCCAAAGCAGCAAGACAATAAGTAAATAAATGGGTGTGACTGTTTCAGTAACTCTTTAAAAAGACAGGAGGCGGGCGAAACGGCCACAGTTTGCCGACCCCTGGTCTAGCACCCAGTCTATCGCCTGGCATGTAGTAGGTACTCCATGATGAAGAAAAGGCCACTGACTTTGGCTATTAGATGGAAACTGGTACTAAGGGAAGATGGTTTCAGTGGCATGCTGGGGTGGAACTGAGATGACAGAGGGCTGGGGTGTGAGCAGCAGTTGAGGAAGTGGTAACTTCTCTTTCAGGAGTTCTACCGTCTGAGCAGCAGGTTGGGGAACGGTGCTTTTGTAGTGGAGTGGGGTGGATCAGGAACCTGTGTGCAGGCATAGGGCTGAGGAAGAAACAGGGTAACTGACGGTGAGGTGGGGCTCCAGAGCTCAGGGGTATGTTTGGGGGTTGGTCACAAAGGAGGAAGCCACCTTCTAAAGCTGAGGAAAAACAAACAAACGAACGAAAGAAAAGCCGAAAAAAGAAACGAGGAGAAAGCCTTGCATGTTTTTTTTCTGTGAAAATGTGAGCCAAATCTCCGGGTGCAGAGTGGACTAGAGGCAGCTCAGGAGCCCCAGGCATCTGGCAGACTGGGAGCCACTGGCAAAAAAGGGAACAGTGGGCATTTAAGACAGGGCCATGGGCCTCACCAAAATGCATGAAGCTACACCCTTCACTTTTCTCTCATTTGAGAGAGCACTTCTAGCCGAGGTGGTGTCTGGGTGTCTTGTGGGTTCTGGGTTTTCAGCTCTGACTCAGTGTGAAGTGTGTCACTTGCTGAACTACCAGTGGTACTGGTCACTTCCCAACACTTTCCCATGCAGGTAGCGACAGGCAGGCCCTCAGGAGGATAGGGTCATGTTTTACATGTGGTCACAGCTAGCTCTTAAAGAATCCTGAAAGCATTTTAATTGCAGAAATTTATTGGTGAATTTCATCCCCATGCTTTCAGATGTGTAGGGCACCCACAAGGTTTAAGAAAGCAGATAGGTTGGGTGTGGTGGCTCATATTTATAATTCTAACACTTTGGGAGGCTGAGGTGGGTGGATCACTTGAGTCCAGGAGTTCCAGACCAGCCTGGGTAACAAAGTGAAACTCCATCTCTACTAAAAATACAAAAAATAAGCCAGGTGTGGCAGTGTGCATCCGTGTCTCAGCTACCTGAGGTGGGAGGATGACTTGAGCCCAGGAGTTTGAGGCTACTGTGAGCCATGATTCTCCCACTGTACTCCAGCCTGGGTGAAAAAAAAAAAAAGCAGATAAAAAATACTGAACCCATATGCCTGGCATGGTGGCTCACATGTGTAATCCCAGCACTTTGGGAGGCTGAGGCAGGCAGATCACCTGAGGTCAGGAGTTCGAGACCAGCCTGGCCAACATGGTGAAACACCATCTCTACTAAAATTACAAAATTAGCCAGGTGTGGTGGTGCGTGCCTGTAATCCCAGCTACCTGGGAGGCTGAGGCATGAGAATCGCTTGAACCCGGGGTGGGCGGGGGTTGCAGTGAGCCATTGCACTCCAGCCTGGGCAACAAGAGCAAGAGTCTGTCTCAAAAAAACAAAAAGAAATTGAACACATAACCTGACAACAGTAGCTTATAATTTCTCAGGGGATAATCTTGTGGTAGTTTCTCTCCTGGGCTGTTCTCTACTAGGCAAGAATGACCTGTATAGAGCACAAAGGCCAATTTTATCCTAATGATGGATAATACAGAACTTTTGTTTTAAATGTTGGAAACCATGTGATTGAGGGTTTGACAATAAAACTAGAACACAGCACCTATTTAGTTTTAGAATCCTAACAGAGTCCTAAAGCCTATAAAACACAACTTCTTATGTAGTCAAAGGATTAGTACTATGACATGAAAAGTTTTCTTATAGAATCAAAAACATAGGAACAATCAACCTCACTTACCATGGAACCAGAGACCTGAAGAAACCTTCCATTTCAATATGAACTTGTTAATTCATTATTACTACCAATACAGGGATGTGTAAGGGTTCAGATCTCATCCTACTACTTTCAGGAAGGACAAAATCATCTAAATGTCTTTTACTTGATATGCCTGGAAGAACAGCACCGGATCTTTTTTCATCTGCCTTATTTCAAGGTGTAATCGTTGTGGGTATTTATAGACTGAAGCTTCTGTGTCTATTCTAATAATTAGTAAAACTCCAATTCATATTTGCATTTTGACGTTTTCACCCCCCACAAGTCTGAAGATAATTTTGCTAAAATACACAGATCCTCATTGGACTGTTTCAAATCCTTCCGGAGACAATGCGAACCAGCGACTCAGAATTCAATGACTACAAAGCGCCGGGCCTACACCTGTAACCCACTATTTATATGGAAGGGTTTTCAATGCACCTTCAGATGCGTATCAAATAAAAATCTCTTACCCTATTGTTGGGTTGATGTTTGGATCAAAACTGTCTTCCACAAACCGCCACACAATACTCGATTTACCTACACCTGTATCCTGAAAGAGAACGAGATGAGTGACTGAGAAAAAGTTTACCTTCTTGCAGACACCAAAAACTAGTTTGTGGCCTAAGTTCAGGATTTTAAAAAATCGCCCTACATGTGTAATTTTATAAATTGAGGAACACAAAAGCGGTTGTCATGACAATTCAGTGCAGTAATTAGGAGATTCTAAATGTACTAAAAGGGAGACGTTTTTGCAGTTTTTAATTCAGATTAGGATCTTTTGAAAGACCCAAAGTTTCTGCTTCGTAAAAAGTAACAAGTCTACTTGCTTTTTGACATATGTTAGTAAACTTTGAACTCCTGAGTAATTACCTCTGAGTAATCCCTGATGAGTCCTAGCCGCACTCTATTTGGGGGCAATAAAGATTAGTTATTGGAGTTCCTGCCGATCTTTAAGGCAGAAACTCTGAAACGCCAGCATCAATCTCTGAAAGAAATCTTTGAAATGGCCAACACCTTGTCTTTCCTGACAAGACAGGAAGCTGAAGCTTCAAACTAGTCTTTGGGGCTTCCTGAGTTGAATACCCCTTTTCTACACAGAAGAGTTACTCGATAAAGTAACTCTTTGGAGAATCGGCAGGGGTATCCTACAAATTCAAAAACACCCAGGAGACAAAGTAGGCTAATTCCGCTTGTAAAACCTAAAGACCGGTTCTTGGTTTTACCTTGGAAGACTCGGCCAACTCCCAACCAATACCTTGGTAAGTTGGAGAAAACTATTTAAGAGCCTCTCTTAACCCAGATGCAATGGAGAGGCAGGCGGGGGGGGAGGGGGGTCTGTTTGCTCTTTGGGGGGCGGGAAGAGTCCACCGGCTCCCGGGCGGGGAAGTGGGAGGGTCCCTGCGGCCTCCGGGACCTTCTGGAGGGTGCTAGAGGAGGGCGGGACGGCTCCCGACCTGGACGGAGGGTCCCCGGAGCCGGCAGACAGCATCTCGGACGGAGGCGGGGGAAGGGGTGAGGGGACGTGGGGGATCCGGGGTCCTCGTCCGCCCAGCCTCCCGTGGCCCTCCCGGCTGGACCCGCCGCCACTCACCCCCAGCAGACACACTTTGAGCTCCCTCAGCGCCATGGCCCGGGAGCCAGGGGCGCGGGCCCGCCGCCGCCCTAAGTTGAGGGAGAGGCCGGGCCCAGCAAGAGCATCCCCTGGCGCCACCGCCGCCTCACGGCCCAGGCTTGGTCCGCGCAGAGGCGGCTGCCGCCAGTCCTCCAGCACTAGGTCCGACCTGTCCGCTGCCAGCCGCCTGGGGCCCGCCTTAGCAGCCGGGACGCCGCCGCGGCCTTCCGGGCGCCGCCGCTGCCGCCATCTTGGGACGCCGGCCGGGTCACCTGACCTCCACGCCCACCTCGGCAGCCACCTTTGCTGTGAGGGCGGGGCCGGCCGGCAGGCGCGGAAGGGGGCGGGGTCTGAAGCGGATGGCCCCGCCCCCCGTCCACAGGCCCCCCCCTCCCCCTCTCCCCCTCCTCGCCCCCCCTCCCCCTCTCCCCCTCCTCGCCCCCCCCCCGCCGCTCCTGCCGGTCCCTCCTTCAGGCCCATCCCAAGATGGCGGGTGAGTGGGGCTGGGTTCCCGGGACACCCGGGCTGCTCCCCTCCCTCTCGCCCCGTGACCGCTCCGCGAGGCCGGGGGCCTCCTACCCAACCCCGCCGCGACCCCTCCCGCCGCAGCCCCCTGGTAACTCCTTGTGTGTTTCTTGGTTTTCAGAAATCCCCTTGTACTTTGTGGACTTGCAAGACGACTGTAAGTAAGAGTTGGGACACTCCCACCCCTCCCTGGGACCCTCAAAGAACTCAGTGTGCACGAAGCGCGGACGGGGGAGCCTCCGGCCAGGCCGTCGTCGGGACCAGCATAGCGGGACCCCCAACTGCCTAGATCCACTTGGGGCCGTCCGTCCTCCGTGTGCGGGGCGGGCTGAGGGTGGGAGCGCTTCCATCGAGGGAAGGATTTTTGTTGTTGGGGAAACTTTTGACTTCCTGTCACTTTCTTTTCTACCTGCGCCTGCAGCTGCCCCGGGATGGGTCGAGGGGGTAGTCCCAAGTCACAGTCGACTCAGGGAGGACGGGGGGCCTGCCACTTCGGAGGTGGGTGACTTCCATCTCAGGGCCTCTCCCTTTTCCTGGGGACTTTTAGGAGTGCAGGGGGCGGGGGGGGGGGGGGGAAGGTCCCGCTTTGGGTGTGGCACGGACTTCTCAAGTGCTTTGGCCACAGCGCAGCTCTTATCCCATGGAGCCCATTGGCCCCGCATTTCTTGGGTGGGTTCCTCATCCCTTCTTGCCCTCTTCTTTGGAATCATGTTAAGGGCTGGTAGCTGGGAGAGGTGTCATCTTGGAAATCCAAGTTCGCATTTGTGGTGAAGGAAGGAAGCATTTTCTCTTCTTTCAAGAAACATTTCTTGAGCAGCTACTTGCTCTGGGCCAGGCCCCATGTTGGGCTCCGGACCCGCAAGGATGTGTTGAAAACAGCTCTATGCTCAGAGAGCTCACAGGCTCTGAGGAGAGCCTACTTGTAAACAGAAAATGACCAAGCACTGCAGTGCTTGCTGGTGAAGAAGCCCTATATAAATCGTCCAAATAGCTAACATTAGTGGGGGGCCTACTGTATGCCAGTCAGATACAGCACTTCCTCTCTTCTTCCTTCCACATCTGCAGGTTTCCTAATAGTAAGAGTCGGTGTTTACTTAAAACTTACCATACACCAGGCAGCGTTAAACTCTTTACACACATTAACTCAGACGGTGCAGTTTCAGCTGGGCATGGTGGCTCACGGCCAGCATTTTGGGAGGCAGAGGTGGGCAGATCACTTGAGGTCAGGAGTTTGAGACCAGCCTGGCCAACATGGTGAAACCCCATCTCCACTAAAATTACAAAAATTAGCCGGGTGTGGTGGTGCACACCTGTAATCCTAGCTACTTGGGATGCTGAGGTAAGAGAATTGCTTAAACCTGGGCGGATCACTGCACTCCAGCCTGGGCAACAGAGCGAGACTCCATCTCAAAAAACAAACAAACAAACAAACAAAAACCCAAAAACAGAGCAAAAGAAGGGGCAGTTTTGTTAAAGTAGCGTCACACTTTTGAAGGGGCAAAATAAGCTGAGAGTTAAGAGCTTCGTGTCTGTGGTGTCCAGTGGCCAAGAGTGAAATCCCATGTCACTGTTTACTAGCAGTGTGATCCCAGGCAAGTCACTGTATCACTCTACTCCTCAGTGACCTCATCTGTAAAGTGGGTATTATGGTATCCCACCTTGAAAGGCTTTTTGTAAGGGATTAAATGAATAAAGAATTTAGTCCAATGTCTAGTGTGTAATAAACACTTGGTAAATATTGGCTGCTGTTACTGTTAACACTGTTTAGCCCGGTACAATATAGATCCAAGTTTACGGTATAGATCCAGGTTTACGGTATAGATCCAGGTTTACTGAGCTGAATGTTTAGCCAACGGGTGTGCTCAGATTGAAGGAGTTGTATCATTTCCATTGATAAACAATCTTTAGCTGCCATCATGGTGCTTCTCATTCATAGATTTGGCATTTGGTCTGGCTGGAAAGCTATTTTCTGGCTGTTTTAGTTACCTAACCACCCTAAAACTCAACGGCTTAAACCAGCAGCATTTGATTTCTCACAAATCTGGGTAGACTGGGTGGCACTCCTGCTTCGTGTGGTTTCAGTTGGGAAAGTCTGAAATGGTGTCACTCGTGTGGGTGGCATAGATCCTGCCTGTTGGCTAGGAGATCTGCCAGGACTATTGCCAGGACCTCAGTTCTTTGCCAGGTGCCCTTTTCACTTGGCTAGGTCAGCCCTCTCACGGTGTAGTGGCCACAGGGCAGTCATACCTCTTTTCTGATGGCTGGCTTCCGTCAGTCCTTTTTCACCTGATGTATGTACAAAAAAGGAAGTAAGGGATTATCTAGGAAAAAATGACAATCTTACTTTGGACAAATATTTGAACAAATGTTAGATGTTTGAGGCTTGTGATGAAAAAGGCTTAAGAACTCTTTAGCAGACAGCTAAAGACTTGCCCCAAGAAGGAGGGAAACCACCATTATGGCTCTGAGTGTAACCACACCTCAGGTAGAACAACTCTGGGGGCCTCCTGTTTGAGCAAGGATAGGAGCTGTGGAATGCTATAACTTAGGAGTTGATAGCACAATTGATCTGTACGGGAGGGCCTGCTAATTCGGGCTGCTCTGCTTCTACCCGTACACCTCCCCATAGTAGTATTGGGAGGTATTACCATACTATGGTTGGGAGAAAGATCTCTGAAGTCCTCTACATCCTGGCTCTCTCACACTTGTAGCTGTGTTATGTTGGGTGGACCACTCACCCGTTCTGTTCAATTCTTTGGAAAGTGGCATGAGAATGGGAGCTGCCTCATAGGACTGGTGTGAGGGTTAGATGAGATAGACAGAAAACATTCCAGTCTAGTGCTTTGTAAAGTATTCAGTGGCTTTATCATCATCATCATCTTTGCCGGATTTTTGTATAAGAGCTTATGATTCAGTGTTAACAGGCGCTGCTCTGTGAGGTAGGTGGGATCATTCCTCTTACAGATGAGAAAACTGAGAATCAGGTCCAGAAACTTATCCATTGTGGCACAGCTCATGAATGGTAGAATTCACGGTCAAATATGGTGCTTCTCTTTTCTGTTCTTTTTTTTTTTTTGAGATGGAGTCTCTCTCTGTATGCCAGGCTGGAATACAGTGGCGTGATCTCAGCTCACTACAACTTCCACCTCCCGGGTCCTGGTTTAACCAATTCTCTTGCCTCAGTTTCCCGAGTAGCTGGGATTACAGGCACACGCCATCATGCCCAGCTAATTTTTGCACTGTTAGTAGAGATGGGAGAGAATGGCGAGGAACAAAAGAGTTAGAGTGGTGGAGCCAGAATCTACTTTGTTTCCCTTCCCATCATTGTAATGTGTTTGACTTTTGTTGCTCTGTATTTTCATTATGTTTGCCAGGCTGGTCTTGAACTCTGGACCTTGTGATCAGCCCTTCTCGGCCTCCCAAAGTGCTGGGATTACAGGCATGAGCCACCGCATCCGGCTGCCCCTTCTTTGTATTCCAGCACAGGGATCAACCTCATAAATGTTCTTAACCTACGGGGTGAGAAATGGATGTCAGTTTGGGTAATACTGTGACTGTTGCCCTCCTTGGTCATTTGTATCTGAATGACGTGATGCCCCTCTATTTAGACAGTAGGTTCCTTGGGGCAGGGACACTGGCCATCCTTTCTGTAACCCAATGTCCTGCATGATCTAGGTGCCCAATTAATGTTCTTACTGTAAACGATAATGAATTACAAGGCTTTTGTCTGATTTACTTTGTGATTCTTGATTATGTTTGGCTAATTTCAAAAGGGAGCCATAATGAATGGATGTTTATTTTTTAAATCATTCAGAGTCTTTAGGCCATTACAGCACAGAAGAGATTTAATTTCAGAGAATTGGCTTAGTGAAGCAGTCTAAATTTCTTCTCTTGAGAGCAGAAAGTATGTGGGATTGCGTGGCATATTGGTATTCACATTGAATTGCATGGGGAAGGTGGAGCTGTATGTCTGTGCCTAGGCATCTACAGGCCTATGAATGTCTGGTTTTGCTTATAGCCTATGGAGGCTGAAGAGGTGTTATTGTTGGTAAGGTTTGCTTGGCTAATTAGAATTTAAATGTGTGTCAGTGGTGGTTGAATAAAAAATCTGGGGAGCCTATTGCAAATATAGAGACCTGAGAGACCTACCAACAAAATACAATATGTAGTCATATTTGGATCTATTTTTTTGAGACCAAGTCTTGCTCTGTCGCCAGGCATCAGGCTGGAGTGCAGTGTGGTGCGATCTTGGCTCACTGCAACCTCCGCCTCCTGGGTTCAAGCAATTCTCCTGCCTCAGCCTCCTAAGTAGCTGGGGCTACAGGTGTGCACCACCACGCACAGCTAATTTTTAATATTTTTTAGTAGAGACGGGGTTTCACCATGTTGGCCAGGGTGGTCTTGATCTCTTGACCTTGTGATCCACCCGCCTCAGCCTGCCAAAGTGCTAGGATTACAGGAGTGAGCCACTGCACCCAGCTGGATCTTTAATTGAACAAATCAACTATAAAAATACATTATTGAGACAGGGAAAATTGAGTTTGGACTGGGTATTAGATAATATTAAGAATTATTAATTTTGTTGGATGTGATAATAGTGTCATGGTTTTGTTCAAAGGAAAAGGGCCTCATCTAACAGAAACAGGCATTCATGGGTGAAATGATTTGATGTGTGAAGTCTGCTATCAAATACTGCAACAAACAGTAAACAAAAAGTCAGGAGAGGGAAAAACAAATGGCAGAATGTTGATACTTATTGAATCTGGTTGCTGGGGACTAGTC